GTTCGAAAGCAAGAAATTGCAAGTAGATAAATAGGTACCACTTTGGTGGGAAGGTCACAGCGTTCCGTGCACCTTGGTGTTTAGTCATGCCGGCCACATGACCTCGGAAACGTCTTCGGACAGTGCTGGCTCTTCGGCTTGGAAACTGAGATGAGCACCGCAACCCTAGAGTCGGATTCGACTGGCTTTCGAGCAAGGAAAACCTTTACCTTTACCTTAAAACAAAAGGACACACCCTCCTGTATACAGTTTCTTGTTTTTTTGTTATGAAGTCACAGCTGACTCAGGTGATCACACGGGGTTTTCAAGGCAAGAGACGGACAGAGGTAGTTTGCCATTGCCTGCTTCCGCGTCACGACTCCAAACTTCCTCAGCGGTCTCCCACCCAAGGACTAAACAGGGTCGACTCTGCTTAGCTTCTGAGATCTGACAATATCCGCCTAGCCTGAGCTAGCCAGGTCAGGGAATTGCCTACGGCACACTAGCACATCAGAGAGATGCAAACGGCATAGTCCTTCCCCTCGTTTTCTGCATGCGGAGACTGAAAGGCTTCCTTGAGTCCAAAACCACCCATCGATTTGCCGGGGGGGGCTTTCAGTCAGCCTCCACTAGGATGGGCAACGCTGTCGCTGGTGCATATCTGCATCAGGTGTAAGAAGGGTCAGTCAGTCACTTCCGATGAAGGACGATGACTCATAGCCTTTAGAGGAAGCTGCCTGCCGTGTCTCTACATGAGTCCCTGTTCTCAGCTCACCTCTCAGTCAAGAGGCACAACCAAACCAGCAGGAGTCGCACGGAAAATGAAGCAGGCCTCCGGTTTTAATGCTGGAAATCAACGTGCTCCGACCACCAGCAGTTAGGAGCCTCCTTTAGAAAGAGGAGGAAGGGGAGGGGGGAGGGAAGGAGAGACGGGAGGTCTCCCCACACAATTTGGACCCCGAATAGTCCAATGGCGCTGTTCTCTGCATACGTACATTTTTAGGGGACTACACCACTTCGGGCTGCAAGAAGGAAACCGCGTTTTGACCGCTACTCTTTTTTTTTTTACTCCTTGCAAGTAAGAAACTAATATAGGTAAAGGTTCCCTTACTTGAAAGCCAGTCGGATCCGACTCTAGGGTTGCGGTGCTCATCTCCGTTTCAAAGCCGAAGAGCCAGCGCTGTCCGAAGACGTTTCCGTGGTCATGTGGCTGGCGTGACTAAACACCAAGGCGCACGGAACGCTGTGACCTTCCCACCGAAGTGGTACCTATTTATCTACTTGCAATCTCTTGCTTTCGAACTGCTAGGTTGGCAGGAGCCGGAACTAGAGATGGGAGCTCACTCCGTCATGCGGCGTGCTCGGGTCTCAAACTGCTGAACTGCCGACCTTTAACAGCCTGCAGTTCAGCGTCTTAACCACTTGAGCCACCGCAGCTCCTAAGAAACTAATATAAGACTGGGCTAAAATGTTTTTTTCCTTGTGCACCAGTAGCCTGCTTTGCTGGGCGTTCTTTACGTGCATGAACTTATTAAAAATGACTCCTCCCCCCACCTCCTCATTTGCATAGAGTGGGCAACGGTGGGCTGGGAAATTCCTGGAGATCTGAAGGCGGTGCCTCGGGAAGGCAAGGTCTGAGGAGGGGAGGGGACTCCGCAGGGCATAATGCCACAGCGTCTACTTTCCACGGTAGCCGTTTTTCTCCAGGGAAGCTGACCTGCGTGCTCTGGAAATCAGCTGTCGTCCTGGGAAATCACTGGGCCCTACTAGGGTTGCCAGGTCCGGCGGATGAGCACGTGGGGGGATGGGGGTGCACTTACTAGGAGCAGGGAGGGAATAAGCTGGAAATAAATGCAACGTGCCCACGTCGCCCAGAAATTGACTGGTTGTAATTGACTGGTGCTGGTTTTATACCGAATAAACACTGAATAAATACTGCTTTTAAAAAAAATGCCTTAGGCACATTGGGGGCACTGCTCTGGTTTAACTGCTAGGTTGGCAGGAGCTGGAACTAGAGACAGGAGCTCACTCCGTCTTGCGGCACCCGGGTCTCGAACTGCTGAACTACTGACCTTCCACAGCCTGCAGTTCAGCGTCTTAACCACTTGAGCCACCACAGCTCCTCTTGCCTGTTGGGGGTGTGTGTAATTCTTCCCCGGCGACCAGTGATGTAGAGGAGCACCGGAAACCGGGGGACCCCGCCCCCCGCCCCAGGAGGTCTGGCAATCCTAGGCCCCACTTGGAGGCTGGCAACCCTACGATCAGCTTTAGTCAGGAGTATTATGGGGATAAGGGAGCAAAAGCCACTTGTAGCCATTTTCGGCTATCGCAGATAGCAGTTTCTCGATGTTCACCCGAGCGAAGGTTACCTATAATGGTGAATGTCTTCAAAAGATTTCGTGTTATTTATAGCAAATACACATAAAAAGCCCTCTCCCGTCCTCATGTACTGGTCCCGCATCGCGCTGTACTCCTCTTGACCAGCGGTGTCCAGAATATCCAAGAGACAGGTTTCTCCATCGATGACGACTTGTTTCCTGTATGAATCCTGAAAGAGACAGAATTTTCTTTTAGCTACATGTACGCACCGCAGTTTTAAAAATCTGATGCCAATATTAGAAAGCTGAAGGTAAAGGTAAAAGTTTCCCTTGCTC